AAGGGCATGTACCTTGGTTGCAGGCACATCCGCGCAGGAGGCAGCTGATCGATGTTTCTAACTATCTCTCGCCCTCTCTGTAAAAAATCGATAAAATATATTAAAAAAAGAAAAAAAGAATCTAGCTGAGTCATTTTAGCAAGAATAATTGATATCTAATTTAATTCCTCATCCCCCATAGTGATGTCTGCTCAGTTGGGCCTGACTCAGCAAGAATCCTATCAGCTGGGTTTGGCCAGAAACCCCTCCTCCTGTACCCCCCCCCCCCCTCGGATATTTCCTCTTAGTAATTTTCCGTTCAATGACTCCCTCAACCTGCTCCTGCGGCTATAAATCCCCACTTGTCCACATTGTCTTTGGAATTGAGCCCAGTGTTAAACTGAAGTCTCTTTTCCTGCTATTGCAACAGCTCCTGAATAAAATCAGTTTTTAACACTTGAATTACTGTTCAGCTCAGGTTTTCTTTAACACAGTACACTGATCCATTCTTGTTCTGAGTCTCCGTCTTTGCTAGAATCCTTGCATTTTCCCACCGTGTCCACCCTTTCCTTCTCTAATAATGTTACAAGGGGTAAAATCCATGAATTGGGCTCAGAAAGTTGAATAGGAGAAGCATGCCACCTTAAGAGTGAGGGTTCCCCCCCACCCCCCCTTAATCCTCACCTTTCCCATTGATTTTTAGAGAGAGGGGAAAGACTGAGAGAAACATCGATGTGAGAGAAACACATCGATTGCCTGCCTCTTGCACAGGCCCTGACCAGGGCCTGGGCCAGGGAGGAGCCTGCAACCATGGTACATGCCCTTGAATAGAATAGAACCTGGGATCCTTTGGGCCACAGGCTGACAGTCTATCCACTGAGCTTAACTGGCTAGGGCAAGAGTGAGTTTTAACAGCAAGATGAATAAAGCCCAGTCCCTTAATTAAGGAATATAATGTATATTATTTCACAGGTCACTAGTGGCCAAATACAATTCACAGTTTTGCCTGGGCAGAGGATAGGAGAGAAAGGGGGGAGGGGAGGAGAGGGAAGGGGAGGGGGGGAAGGGGAAGGGAAGGAGAGGAGGAGGGAGGCTGGTGTGGAGCTTGGGAACACAGAGAGGCTTTGTCTGAGCTGCTGGCAGTTCAGATGGTGCTGTCTTCTTCTGTTTACCGAAGTTGGGGACTGTAGCCAAAAATCTATAAGATCAAGGTCAAAGTCTCAATGGAGACAGATTTGCTCTGAAAGTTAGGATTAAAAGACAAATGAAGAACTATTTAGGTTTGTTTCTTTCAGTTTTGACCAACCAATTCACTATATACCTTGAAATAATTAAATGGTCTTACAGCTATTCATAAAATTCAATTTTTTTTCATATTTCTCAGGAAAAAATAGAATTTTTGTCATGAATCTGAAAATCTTTGGCTTGTTCCTTAAGTCTTTTAAATAAAAAACCAATTTTTACAGCACATTTTGACACATGGTTTTGTTAGGTAAATAACAATGCTCTAATTGTGGATGACTTCATGCACCATTGAAGCTTTAGGGTGAAATAATAGAGATGTCTTTATCTCATCAGAGATGACTTCCCTCTATAAATGATCCACTCATTTCATACTTATCTTCACCAATCTCCATAACAAGATGTCATACCCTCCAGCTCTTTTTCTGCTTGAATGAAGGCATATAAAATAGTATATGTTTCACTGTAAATGAGTATGGATTTATTTTTAAAGTAATGAAAACATTAGAGAATTTGATAGTGGTGATGCTTCTATAACCCTTATATATATTTTAAAATATACATTTTTATGCCTAAAATTTTGAATTCTATGGTACATTTTAAGTTATATTACAATAAAACAGTTACTGTGTTTTTGGTTAAAAGTGGCAGGTGAACAACACATACTGTTTCTTCCAAAAATATGGAAAATTGATGCATCCACAATTTTGAGGGAGAATAATTTTCAGTCTAGAATTCTATACCCAACAAGGCAATCAAATGTGAGGGTAGAATAAAGCAGCTTTCAGGTATGCAAAAACTAAAACAAAATTCACTTAATACGTGCTCTTTCCAATGATGGCACTAGAAAATGTACTTCAAAAAATCAGGGAGCAAACAAAAATGAGAATGACATGGGATCCATGACATAGGTGATCCTTACGGGAAAAAAAAAAAAAAAAATGCAAGGAGGTTTCAGTCCTGCACCAGACTTTGAGAGCAACCAGTCCAAAAGTAGGGCAAGAGGACCGATTACAGAAGATAGTAGAAGTAAACAATTATTTGATATATTATATTTGAAAAATTGATAATTATTTCACAGGTTTGTTGGAATATTTAAAAAAGTAAGAAATAAAAAACTAAAAATAGAACAATTATTAACTCTAGGAAAAACAAATTTGTACAAAGAAATGAAATCACCATAATTGATTACCAAGTTGTGTAGAAAATATATTTATATATTGATAATATAAATTTTGACAGGTATAGCTATATTTAGTTGACAGGGGGAAAGGGAGAGAAAGGAGTAGAGTGTAAGAAAATTAAATCCTCAATTGGAAGCCAATAGTCTATAATAATAAGCATGTGCCGAAACCAGTTTGGCTCAGTGGATAGAGCATCAACCTGCGGACTGAAGGGTCCTGGGTTTGATTCCGGTCAAGGGCATGTGCTGTGGTTGTGGGCACATCCCTGGTGGGGGCTGTGCAGGAGGCAGCTGATCGATGACTCTCTCTCATCGATGTTTCTAACTCTCTATCCCTCTCTCTTCCTCTCTGTAAGAAATCAATAAAATATATTTAAAAAATTAATAAGCATGTATGTAGCTGTTGGTATGAATTATTTAACAATATGGAAATAAATATAGAAAAATAGCTAACATTTGTTGAACGGGTAGCCTTTGGGGAGTGGGATTATGGAGTGGGATGAAGTGCAAAAGGGGCTATTGTTTCTCATAAGCCTTTTAATGCATTATAACTGTGCAATATTATTTTGATAAATACTCATAAAAATGAATTAAAATAGTACTTACAGTAACTGATGTATTCGTTTGCTAGGGCTGCCATTACATGGTACCACCTAGTACCACTGAGTGGCTTAGACAGCAGTTCTCCAGGCTGGGAGTCCAAGCAGAAGATGTCGGCAGGTTGGTTCCTCTGGAGGGCTGGAGACAAGGTATGTCCCAGACTGCCCTCGTTGACTTGTAATGACCATTGTCTTTGTGTGTCTTCACATTGACTCCCCTCCGTGAGTGTCTCTGTGTCCAATGTCTTCCTTTTTGTAAGGACATCAGTGACCCACCCTAACAACCTCATGTTCCCTTGATTACGTTTGAAAAGAACCATTTCTAAGTAAGGTCTAAGAGCTAGGTCTGCAACCTGTGAATCTGAAGGGGACACAATTCAGCCCATAACGTGTGGGGATGGTCGATGGTAGCCAATGTTTCTGTGGAGGAATGATCTGTAGTGTTAGCAGGTCATGTAATGTTGGTCACTAATCCACTTGAGGTTCTAGGAGGTGGTGCCCTCTGTGGAACACAAAGCTGCCATTCAGAGAAGTGACCTGACTCAGGTGGGGCCTCCTACGCATCTTTCTGGGCCGAGAACACCACCGCGTGAAGGGAAAACACCAACCTTTACATAGGAATCAAGAGATGGCATAACGGGAGTTCTGTGGGAACTCCATACTTTGGTGGCATAAGTTGTACATCACTCCATATAGCATGGAGTAAAGATCGAAGACGACTTCACAAACTTTGCCAGTAAGGACCTTTGTCGGAAAGGTTTGAGAAGCAGAGGAGTCCTTCAGGGAAGAGGTAGTATCTCTATAATCTACCCACTCTATCTTACACTTTTAATTAATGAATTTATTTATAAAAAATATTTTCAATGTCTTTAGAGAGGAAGGGAGAGAGAGAGAAAGAAGCATCAATGACGAGAGCGAATCGCTGGTCTGCTAACTCCTGCACGTCCCCCCACTGGAGCCCACAGTGACCTGGGCATGTGCCCTGACCTGGAATCGATCCGTGACCTCCTGGTTCATAGGTTGATACTCAACCACTGAGCCACGCCAGCCCGGCGATCTTACACTTTTTTATTTTATTTTATCTTACACTTTTTAAATAACCTGAATTCACCAGAGGGAAAGGGGGTGGGGGAGGAGGAGAGGGTACAGAAGGGGTAAATGGTGATGGAAGGGACTTTACTTGGGTTGATGAATACACGGTACAATATATAGATGCTGTATTAGAGAATTGTACACCTGAAACCTATATAGTTTTATTAATCAGTATCACCCTAATAAATTCAATTTTAAAATGAAATGCAAAAAAAAAAGCCTGAAAAATAAATAAAATGTGCAAAAAACAAGAAAAACAAAGCCTATTTAGACAACATCTCCAGTTGTTTTCTAAATAGGAAATGTGTTCTTACAACTGTTTTGCAAGCTTCTTTAGGACCAGACCACAATAGCTAACACTGATGTAGCACTGTGTGCCAGGCACAGTACCAACCAGTGTGACATCTTAACCGACTTAGTGACCATCCCTGAGTCCTCCAGAATCCGTGCTCTGAGCCACCTTGCTCTGCTCCCAAACCCTCACGCACATCCATGCAGGACAGGCAACGTGCTGGCCTCACAGCAGGAGTGAACAAGCCAGCAGACATATACTTCATTACTCAGACCAAAAATGCTTCGTTAGCGATGAAGTTAGTGTACAATGAGATTTATAGTGTGTTTCTTTTTTTTTTATATATTTTATTGATTTTTTACAGAGAGGAAGGGAGAGAGACAGAGAGCCAGAAACGTCGATGAGAGAGAAACATCGACAAGCTGCCTCCCGCACACCCCCTACTGGGGATGTGCCCACAACCAATGCACATGCCCCTGACCGGAATCGAACCTGGGACCCTTCAGTCCGCAGACCGACGCTCTACCACTAAGCCAAACCGGTTTCGGCTATAGTGTGTGTTTTCTATTCTTTTCTCATTACTGTGACAAGAGCCTAGAAAGAAACTTTATGACTGTTGACATTTAAATCTCGCTGTCATGCAACGAGTTGTGGGAATTCAAGAGGCAAGGCTGCTGTTGGTTGGATTAGTTTCAGAAACATCCTTTCATCTTTCAAATCACTAGTATGTAGTTCTACACATAGAATGAAATTTAGCAAAAGCACTGGTTGTAAGATCATGACATTTAACCGAGGCCCAGAGTTACAGGATTGAATGGTGTAACCCCCAAACTCCAGGAAAATTATAAGAAAATGCCATGTCCAAGACTGAAGTCAATAATATCATGTTAATTAAATGAGATTCTCAATTTACAGAAATAATCTATCATAGATTTTTTTTTAAGTTTTCATGAATTGGAACGTAAATGATAAATGGTATGGAATTGTCCAGATTTAATCTCAGTAGTAACTACACTGAGGTACTCTTGCTGAATTGTGTGAGGCATGCATGTATGGATGCTAGTCTTGGACGTGTGTATATATGCATGCTTGTGTATGTAGGGAGGGTTAGGGAGGATGTGTGTTTACTCTGAGTAGAGTGTGGAAAGAGATTCCAAAGGCAGGGATTTGTCAGTGTGATTTTAGCTCTGTTCAAAGCTTGTGGGTTTGGCTTGTGGCATGTGCGGTGAGGTATAGCGCAGTGGGGGCTGGGATGATTGCTGTGGTGGATGCCACATTGGCAGAAGGATGTGTGGTTTGGTGGAGTGAGTTGGTGGGTGGTGTGATTTGGGTAGAGTGAGTATGGAGAGAGTCTTGGTGAGGGGGTTGGAATGGGGCGTTATGTGGGATGTGAGAGGTGGGAGACAGATATGAGAGTGTGCGGCTGACGCGTGGATATGGTTTGTGACTGTGTGTATATGTGTGTTTGTGTGTAGTGGTTGTAATTTAGCTTTTGTTTAGCTTTTCTTTTGCCCTTTGTTTCAGTCTTTGTTTGGCCTTTGTGCTGTCTTTGTTTCACTCTTTGTTTAAACTTTCTTTGGCTTTTGTTTACTCTTTCTTTAGCCTTTTGTTGAACCGTTGTGTGGCCTTTTTGTAGTCTTTGTGCAGCTTTTGTTTTCAAGTGAATCTTGGCTGCGAACCCATCAAAAACACCTTGTGTAATGAAATGCCCAGCTATATAACCTCTCCCTATATATTCCGCGTGCATTGAGTGGCCTCATCCTCTCAGGAGCCTGGTAGAGAGGAGGAACCTGTTTCACACAACAACTGCTACTGGAAGGTAAGGGCATTCCGCCGGTTTTCATCTCACCTCATGTTGTGCTTGGTCTCCGGTGGCTAGTGTATGGGCCGTTTCACTGTATCCCAGGGGAAACCCGCCGGAAGAGCTGCCAGGAGCAGGAGGACATGAAAGGATGGAGAACGCAAGCACAGAGGACACCAAGGCTATTCTGATGTGGGCGGAGGGCCCTCCTGGAATGTTCTGGCAAACGCCTGGAAATTGTCTGAGCCTGGGACAATTGTCTGAATCTGGGCCCTAACTCAGATTCTGGTCTGAAGCCCCCTGCTCTGGCTTCTTCTTTTTTCTCTCTCTCTCTCTCTTTTTTTTTATTTTTTATAATTGATCATGATTTGGAAATGAGTTGTGTTTTTGTGTTTTTTTTTTAATCTAGGAACGCTTTCCTTCATATCTTCGGGTTTATGTGGGGGGCGGGGGAGGGGGAATGTCCTGCAAAGCCCCAATCTTGGAAGAACGTTTGTTCCCAGAAAACATAAATGGAAGACATCCATGCTTTGTCTTGAGCAGAATTTCAGAAATCAGTCTTCGGATTGATTTCCTTTCATTTTCAGTTGATAGAGAAAGGGAAGAAAATATTATCTGTCAGGGGAATAAAGTGATGAACTTGGCTAGAAGTTCTAGGAAGAACCTGGGGAAAGAATTTTTAATGTTTCCTGAATAAATCCGGGAGGCAGAAAACAGACTATTGTCAGATGGGCATCTGTTTTATGTTTATTCAGAAGAGCAGGAGAATGCCTTGGTGAGTGGATTTTAAAAATTATTTCATGTTTACAGAAAAATCACAAGCAGTTCAAAAATCCGATGTATCGAGACTATTCCAATGCTGACATGTTACTACATTTGCTTTATTATCCTTTCTTTCTCTGTTTATGCATATACATATTATTTTTTTCCTGAGCCATTTAAAAATAAATTAGAGTCATGATCAAAATAAAACAAAATAGCTGAAACCGGTTTGGCTCAGTGGATAGAGCATCGGCCTGCTGACTGAAAGGTCCTGGGTTCGATTATGGTCAGGGGCATGTATCTTGGTTGCGGGCACATCCCCAGTGGGGGTGGTGCAGGAGGCAGCTGATTGATGATTCTCTCTCATCGATGTTTCTAACTGTCTATCCCTCTCCCTTCCTCTCTGTAAAAAAATCAATGAAATATATTTTAAAAAAAGAGACAAAATTAAAAAAAATAACATGGAGAAAATACTATTATCTATTCTGCAAACAACTAGATTTCACCAGTTATCCCAGAAATCAATCCAAGGATCATGCGTCCCCTTTAGTGGCCCTGTCTTTAGTCTCCATTACTCTGGAGCAGTACCCAAGACAGTCATTTTCTTTCATGCCTTGACTAGTTTTGAGGAGTTATTACTATTATTATTTTGTTAATCCTCACCTAAGGATATTTCCCCACTGATTTTTTTTTTTTTAGAGAGAGTGGAAGGGAGAGTAAGAGAAAGACACTGATAAGAGAGATACACACTGACTGGTTGTCTCCCACACGTACCCTGACTACCAGGGCCAGAGTCAAATCTGCAACCCACAGAGGTACCTGTCTTTGACCAGAATCAAACCCGGACCCTCTGGTGGACCCCTGGGGTGCACAGGCCAATACTCCACACTGGCCAGTGTAAGGCGTTATTTTGTTAAGTGTTCCTCACTTGGGGTTTGGACTGATGTTTTCTCATGATTAGGTCCAGGCTATGACGTTTGGAAGGACTATGCTTGCATTATAGATCATACATATCCAAATTCACACTTACATCTGATTGTACACATTTTGTAATTCAAGGGGTTGCTTTTTTGTTTTTGTTTTTGTTTTTTAATGTTTTATTGATTTTTTACAGAGAGGAAGAGAGAGAGATAGAGAGTTAGAAACATCGATGAGAGAGAGTCATCGATCAGCTGCCTCCTGCAAAGCCCCCACTTGGATGTGCCCGCAACCAAGGTACATGCCTCCGACCGGAATCGAACCCAGGACCTTTCATTCCGAAGGCCGACGCTCTATCCACTGAGCTAAACCGGTTCTGGCTCAAGGTGTTGTTTATCTAATGGTTACTAGGATTTGAAATGAGTACCTAAAATCTTACAAGAAAGTGCAAAAAAATTAAAAAATCCAGGGCTTTTTGCTGATAATTCCCAATACTCACCAGAAGCGTGTAAGTGCTGTCTCTTACTTATGAATGGTAATTACAATGATGTGCACATGAACTTGATGGGTGTATGGTGAGGTGTTTAATCTAGATTCTTTGTGTGTGTTGGGTTCATGTCTGCTACTCTATGAGTATGAGCATCATCAATGTGGTCATTTCTTTCTAAGCAAAACCGTCTGCCGGAAACAGGTACAGCTCGATAAAGAGCTGTCCTGAAGAGCCACTGCAGGCTCACTGGCCTCCTTCAGCACCTTGACAGGGTGTCTGGTAGAAGGAACTTTCATTTGTTTGCTCATAAGTGGGAAAACTATTTGGAGGTGGCTGGCAGTTTTATTATTCTTTGTTGTTTGTTTGTTTGTTTATATTTTATTGATTTTTTACAGAGAGGAAGAGAGAGGGATAAAGAATTAGAAACATCAATGAGGGAGAATCATCGATCAGCTGCCTCTTGCACACCCCCTACTGGGGATGTGCCCGCAACCAAGGTACATGCCCTTGACTGAAATCGAACCTGGGACTCTTGAGTCTGCAGGCTGACGCTCTATCCACTGAGCCAAACTGGTCTCAGCATTCTTTAAATAGATTCTTTAGATACACAAATATAAAGCATCCTTTCCCCCCCCCCCCCAAAAAAAAACTCTGATGTCATCGTAAATCTGAATGAAGAGGCGTTGATTAAGTTGTTATATGATCTTGGTAGTGAAGTGAATGTATTATGGCTTTCACAGGACTGTTCCCTGGATTAGGTAGATAAATATTTTCTTTCTAAATATGAAATTAGGTTAGAACTTAGGGATTCTGCACATGGTGCTGTTTAATGTTGAGGAACCCAGCTTTTGAGAAAGGACAGCACTAGCTGTAATAATGGCCTCTCTGGGCTGTACAACTCGCCCTGGACTTGGAGAAAGTGCTTTCTACTTGAAGAGTTATGTGTTCCTGTGATGAGCCATCCCCTGGGGTGGAAAAGAAGGGCCTCCTCACACTTAGTCAAAAAAATTGGGGTCAGGACATGGAAGGCTTGAAAGGCCAGGAGAGTCTTGTGACTGGGAGTTGAGTTGCTCTCCTCAGTCCGAAGACTGCCAACCCGAGGATTAGGCACCATGGCATGGACTCTAGGGGTGGTCTCTTGTGTGGGCTGTGAAGGCCATTATGGATTCTGGTGCTTCTGCTACAATGCATTAGGAAAAACCTGGTGTTCGCTGTGGTTAAGGGACCAATATATTTTAAAATGTACCTGGGGTTTTGTTTTTGTTTAGGTATGGTGAGGCCAGCAAATCAGATGACTGCCATTGAAAAGATCGTTTGTTACCCTGGCTGGTGTGGCTCTGTTGGTTGGGTCCGTGGTCCTGTGCACTGAAAGGTTGCCAGTTCTATGGTTCGATTCCAGGTCAGGGCACGGAACCAGGTTGCACACTTGATTTCTGGTCGGGAATGTGCAGGAGGCAGCCAATAGATGTTTCACTCTCATATTGATGTTTCTCCCTCTCTCAAAAAAAATTTTTTTTTAATGAAAAGATAGTTTGTTACTCACAGTTCCCAAGAGGAGAGGGCATGCCAGACCATGGAGGCCTAGATGAGGAAACACTAGAGTCTGCCAGCAGCCGGAAGGGGCTAGGAAGGCATGAGCAAGGGACTTCATTGTACCTTTGTTACAGGTATGAATGAGCGGGCTGGGTAGGCAGGGTAGGCAGGTGTAGGATGGGCGAGTTTAAGTTCAGGGGGGGACTCTGGAGTGTAGGGTTGATCTGAATCATCTGGTACTTGGCCCTGGGATGATTAGGAGTGAGGAATTTTAGCTCAATCTGTGACAGTTTGATAAATACACACATGCACGCACACACGCACGCACGCGCATATCAACAAAACAACAAAAACCCCAAAAAACACACACAAAAACCCGGGAGTTGGTGTGTTTAGGCTCTGGATTGTTGCTTTGCATATAAAAGGCACTCTCAGCAGGGAGTCCTTTGCTGTGTCTCCAAATTAATTAGCCTTGAGAGGGGCAGTCTCTCCAGGATCAGCAAGGCCCCAGATGCCAGAGCATCAAGAATACAGGAAGTAGCCTGGACCGATTTGGCTCAATGGATAGAGTGTCGGCCTGGGGATTGAAAGGTCCCGGGTTCGATTCCGGTCAAGGGCATGTACCTTGGTTGCGGGCACATCCCCAGTAGGGGGTGTGCAAGAGGCAGCTGATCGATGATTCTCTCTCATCAATGTTTCTAACTCTCTATCCCTCTCTCTTCCTCTCTGTGAAAAATCAATAAAATATATTTTAAAAAAAGAAAAAAAGAAAAAAGAATACAGGAAGTAGAAGAATATAGTTAATCCCGCCTCAGAGTCCACATGTGGCATGAATGGGCCTAGAGGAAGGAGAGCAGCGGTTAGACTCTGGAGCAACAGCATTTAAAAGTCAGGAATCTGATGCAGACTGTGAAAGCGAAGCTCTGTACACAATGCACTCGAATTAACTGCAGCCTAAGTGACCAGAACACATTCTGCTGCTTCACTTTTAGGAAAAAAGAAAAAAGAAGAAGAAGCAGATGATACCAAGACAAGCTCATAACAGAGACCTAATCACCAGATGTGTATGGATGAAAATACAGGTACCAGTGAATCTCTTACACTCTTTTGGACCTGCATCTAGATTACTGTATAATGATCACTTGTTCAGAAAGTTCAAGTGGAATGCAGAATCAGCAAAAGACTGAGCAATCCATTTTTTTTTTTTTTTTTCCGGGCAATCCAATTTTGAATAAGAGCTAAACACTTTTTAAAAAAATATATTTTATTGATTTTTTTACAGAGAGGAAGGGAGAGGGATAGAAAGTCAGAAACA